ATTATATAGATATATGAGTGAGCCAACAATATGCTTAAAAAGGGTTGCATCCACTACCCTCTCATCACTATCCTTTGAGTGTTTTAATTGAGCCACAGCAGGTGTTGCAACAGAATTACACCTTGCTATGTTAAACCTTTCTAGTATGTTCATGGCATACTTCCTTTAATGCACAAAGATTCCTTACTTTGTACAAACAAACTCTAGACTTAGGAAGTGTGACAATCTTCCTAAATCTGTCATCTCAAACTTATTCTTCATTATCTGCTTGAACCTTTCAATCTCTTCCTTGTTGGATCCTATCACTAACAAATTATCTACATATAGATAAAGTATTAGTAACCTGTCAGCAAAAATACACCTCACATACACTCCATGTTCACTTTTGCACTTCAAGAACTTTTATTGTGCCAGGTAACTATCAATTTTTCTGTTCCATGCTCTTGGAGATTGCTTCAATCCATAGAGACTCTTCTTCAATTTGTAGACTTTATCATACTGTCCTTTGATCTCAAATCTTAGAGGTTGAGTAACATACACCTCCTCATCAAGCCATCAATTGAAGAAAACTAATTTTACATCTAACTAATGCAAGGACCATCCCTTGTAAAAAGCCACTGCTACCACCAATCTAATGGTTTCAATCCTTGTAACCAAGGCAAATACTTCATCAAAATCTATTCCATGTTGTTGCAATAATCCCATAGCAACCAGTTTAGCCTTTTCCTTTGCAACTTCACCATTAGGCTTCTCTTTCACCTTATAAACCCATTTGACATCAATAGGCCTCTTGTTTGGAGGATGTTGTACAAGTTACCATGTCTGATTTCTCTCTATGACATTCAATTCTTCCTACATAACATCTTTTCATCTTGTTTCCTTCATTGCTTACTCTTAAGACACTGGTTCTAACTTAACCAACAGTGACAAATAGACAAGATCATTATCATCATTCACTTCATTATCTCTTATAAGCTCAAAATCATTAAGCCACTTAGGCTAAGTTCTATCTCTTTGTGGCCTACCAGTAGGAACGTTGATAGGAGCATAAACAATCTCTTCCTAAGACTGATGAGTACCTTCACAAGCTTGGTCTGGATTAGCTTCTGCATCAGCACTATGATCATTAGGCTTCTTTCTTTAGAATTGATCCAACACTTACCATTTTCAGTTTATGGCATGTATTCCTAATTCCAGCCTCTACCTTCATAAAAAATTACATCACTACTAACTATCACCTTCTTTCTAACAGGATCAAACAACCTATGAGCCCCAATACAATAATACCCTATCATCACCATTGGTTCACCTTTGTTGTTAAGCTTTCTTCTTTTCTGATCAGGGACATGCTTGAAGTACAAACAACTAAATATTCTAAGGTGTGCAACATTGGATTTACTTCCAAACTATGCTTCCTCATATGTGATACTATCAAGCCTCTTAGAAGGGCTTTTATTCATAAGGTAGGCACTAATTGTGACTGCTTCCCCTTAGAATTGCTTTGACATATTATAACACTTTAACATGTTTCTAGTGATGTTTAGAATAAATTTGTTCAACCTCTCTATAATGTCATTGTGTTGTAGAGTGTAAAGAGGAGTAACCTCATGCATAATCCCTTCCTTTTGACATAAAGTCTCAAATTCCTAAGATGTGAATTTACTACCACCATCTGTCCTTAGAGTTTGGATATGCAATCTTGATTACTTTCAACTACTGCCTTGAACTTCTTAAACATGTCACTGATATAATTCTTTCTATTTATCAATTAAATCCATATTTTTCTAGTGAACTCATCTATAAAATAGACAAAGTACAAATTACTTCCTATTGATTCCACTTTAAATAGCCCACATACATCTAATTATATGATCTTTAATCTTGCTTTTGCTCTGAGAGGAACATGATTTATGACAGATTTCCTTGGCTCCTTTGACACACAACAACCATCACACACTCTATCAGGTTTGACGATTCTAGGTATCCCTAAAAGCATTCCTTTTGAGTGCAATTTGCTTAAGCTTTTGGAGTTTAGATGACCCAACCTCTTGTGCTACAACCAACTATCAGTTTCTTCAGTGACTGATAAGCAACTTAGCTCCAGATTTACTAGAATTTTGATCTTAAAGGTCCTGTTTTTGGAGAGAGAAACCCTTAAAACCAACTTTCCATTCTTATCGAAGAGTTTCAATAGGTTATATGACATAGTTGCTTTGTAACTCTTCTCAAGTAACTGTCCTAGATTGAGCAGATTGTTTCTCATGGTTGGAACATACAAAACATCATAAATGCAGGATGATCTTCTGTCTTTCTTCTAGATCAAAACCTTCTTTATCCCTTCAACTTTAATGATGTTGTTATCAGCAAATCTAACCTTACTCTTTATATTAGCATTCAGGTCCACCAATCAATCTTTCCTTCCTGTCATATGGTTGCTACAACTAGTGTTAAGGTACCAAGTACTAATCCTCACTGCCACAATTGTCAAATGCAATTGTAACCATGAGTAAGACATAATCATCATCTGATTCAGCATCTTGAGCTAACTTGGCTTCATTATCTCTTACTTTCTTTTACTTAGAATTCTTACACTCACTTGAAAAATGGCCCCATTCTTGACACCTATAACACTGGATATTCTTCTTACTCTACTTTTTCTTAGCACTTTTGTCTTGAGCACCTGTCTTGCCACCTAAGTCAAGATGATTCTGGTCACAACAATCTTACTTAGTATTGCCTTTAGAGTTCTTTGTCCCTTTGTTGCTCCATTATCCCTTATGCTTCTTATTACAGTCACTATTACTATTATTCTTTTGAGCAAACAAGGCTTGTACAACTTCTTTCTTATGGTTCTTTCAAGAATTCATTGCTCATGAGCTTCGAGTGAGTATTGCAATTCGTCTAGTTTCATTTTTTCTAGATTCTTAGACTATTCTATAGCTACCACAATATGATCAAATCTAAAATTAAAGGTTCGAAGTACCTTCTCAACCACTAATTAATCACTCAATGTGTCTCCACACGATCGTATTTGGTTTGTGATGGCTTGCACACATCCAAGATACTCAACAACTCCTCTTTGTCATGCATCTATAGCAACTCATACTATCTTCGCAACGTTTGCAACCTGATCTTCTTCAACTTGTCAGAACCAGCATACACCTTAGCAAGAGTTTCTCATGCTTGCTTTGCAGAGGTTGCAAAAGCAATTTTGTGGAAGTTCCCTGCATCTACACACTAATGAATTAGAAAAAGTGCCATGCAATCTCATTTCTTGGCATCTTTGAACATCTTTTCTTGAGCTTCGGTTGCATCATTTGTAAGATCTTGCAAACTAGTTTTAACAAAGTCAAGAACTTCTTGCATGTCGAAAATTACCCTCATTTGGATGCACCACTTGTCATAGTTATTCTCTTCTAAGATTGGCAAATGCGTTGGAAAATTGTTGCCATTGTAATCACGTAGCTCCTTCTTCTCCCTTGGATCGAAAAAACTGAGAGCTACTGATACTACTGTAGGAACCTAGTACAATGGCAAGTTTACACACTAACAACAGTAGCCAAAATAGAGAAGCAATAGGAGATAGAAAGGAAAGGAATGAATGTAATGTATTATTAAATGAAACTGGGTTAATCACTCGTTTATACAAGTTAGACAAAAGGCTACAAATTTGAGTAACCACTAACTACCTAATTATAAACATGACTACCAAACTTGACAGTTAAGCCTAATCTAAATTACATTTCTAACAAACTATTTTTAATAAAATGAAACAAAAAAATATAAAAACAAGTCCTGGTAGCAACTCTTATTTTCACTATTATATCACATTTTATTGAGAATCATCTTTAAAAAAAATATATCCAATATATATATATATACAAACACATACAAAAATAGAACAAATAGTTAAATTCTCAAACTTATTTTTACTAAAAAATATTTACATCTATATTCAATCAAATATTTATGCATTTAATTTTTTTGTAATATCTGAATAAATTGAAATGAATTTTTCTTAATCTTATTTGACTTTAAAATTTTGATAAAATTATTTTATTTTAATTTGAATTCACCCTAATCAATATAGGATAACATATATGACAAAATTATGTAGATTCTATTTCTATTTACAAATATTATACATCAATAGTATTAATATTAAAATTATCTATATTATTAATCATATATAGAAATATAAAACTAAATATAAATACATAATCTTGTTATGTAAAAATAATGCTAGTATTGTTCTCTTTGTAAGATATTATTTATTATTAACTAAAATTTATTAAAAATTATAAATATTATGTAAGTTTTACTTTTTCTCACTCATAAATTAATATATTTTTTAATTTTTAATAAATTTTAATGAGTATATTATTAGCCTTCCTCTTCGTTAAATCCAAAAATCTTATTACATATATATAATTATTTAAAAGTATAACTTTAATAGAATATAAAACATTAAACTAGGTTCAAACAATTCAAAGTATAAATGAAATCTGGAAAATCTAACTCCGGAGTTAGGAGGAGTGATAAACCCTTTTTTTCTTAGAATATTTCAACTTTTAACATATCATGTACATTACCAGCTCATGACCTCTCCAAAAAAAAGATATGCATTTTTGTTGAAAGAAAAATAACGTACGTAATCTACAGAATAAAATATAAAACAATTGTCATTAGGAATATTAAATTTAACTCAAAACATTATCGTCCACAAAATAATTTGTCGTGATTTAAATAATTTATTTTAATTTTGTAATTCAAGTTTTTTTTTTAAAAAAATATCTGTATAAAGGTTGAGGATTTGTTAATTATATAAAAAATAAGAAGCGAGAGAGTGGAACATAGAACGGGAAAGGAACACGTCAGCGGAAAGTAAAAGGGCAAAACAGAGCCACGCCACAAAATCGTAGCAGCCAATGAGAGGAGGAGCTGGGATCTTGGCTCGGCCGTGTGTTGTTAGAAGAAGTTGTACTCATTCTATCCTTCTCTTCTTCTTTTCTTTTCTTTTTCGTTAAAAATCTCACTCACTTTCTTTTCTTCTGTCACATAAATGAAAAGATGTAAAATAAATAAACCACTTTCCTTCCTCGCCTCAAATGCAGTTCGCGGTTCAAATTCAAAAGCCCCTCTTTGTCTACCCGCTTCTGTAATAAAATAAAATAGAAAAACCTTTGGAATCGTTATTCAATCACTCCGTTGAGTATGGTTTTCTGAATCGCAGCAATGGAAACAGCGCTCACTTGCTTCTTCTGTAGTCGAATCCCAGCGAAAGCGAAATTGGGGGCTGCAAGTGAGCACTTCCGTTGCAATGCCTCTGGACACGTGTCCTTTTCTTCCATTGGCTCATTCTGCGGTAACATTGCGTATACCATGTCCATGTGCTCTTTGTCCCCTTCGTTTGTAACCCACAGGCACAGGCTCAGGCTCATTCGAAGTGAAACTAAGCTTCGCAGTAACACCAAAAGTAGAAGTGGTAGAAGAAGAAGTGGTTTTAATAAAAGTGGGTCTTCTCAGTCTGAGGCAGTGAGCAATCCCAGTGAGAACAGCGTGGAAGGGGGTAGTGGTATCCATCAGAATGGAGACCCTATTGGGAAGAGGGAACTGGGTAAGAGTGTGATGAGGTGGATTCGTGATAGCATGAGGGCTATGGCATCTGATTTTGCTTCAGCAGAGTTACAGGGAGAGTTGGAGTTCTCAGAGCTGAAGCAGCGCATGGGGCCAGGTCTCACTTTTATCATCCAGGCTCAGCCATATCTGAATGCGGTTCCTATGCCCCTTGGTCTTGAAGTTATCTGCTTCAAGGCCTGCACCCACTATCCCACTCTCTTCGACCATTTCCAGAGGGAGCTTCGTGATGTTCTTCAAGACCTGCAGACTAAGTCCTTGATTCAGGACTGGCGACACACTGAGTCTTGGAAACTGTTTAAGGAGCTCGCCAATTCAGGTTCCTATTTACGGTTACATCAACATTTTTTTTGTTTTTTGTATTGCATTGCTCTCACAAGAGTAATTCAGTAAACAGGGGCTGAGATTGAGATTTTAGGATGGTTCTTTTGCAGCTCAGCATAGGGCGGTTGCGAGAAAAATAACGCAGCCCAAGGCTGTTCATGGCGTTTTGGGAATGGATGTAGAAAAGGTGAAAGCAATGCAGCACAGGATTGATGAATTTACCAACCGCATGTCAGAACTACTTCGTATTGAAAGGGATGCTGAATTGGAGTTTACTCAGGAGGAGTTGGATGCTGTTCCTAAACCTGATGATGCTTCTGATTCTTCAAAACCGATTGATTTCTTGGTTAGCCATAGCCAGTCTCAGCAAGAACTCTGTGACACCATTTGTAATTTAAATGCCATCAGTACCTCTACAGGTCTTCTCCTTTCCCTCTTTTCATCTCACTTTTCAGAAAAAATGCTTTGAGTACATCAAGGTCTTTCATTGACTCTGCTTTTGAAATTTAGCATTTCATTAATGTATGCATGTGCTGTAAAAGAAGTTGAACTGTTGGCATGCTTATGACTTATGAGTTATATGATATGAGGTAAAGTCTATGAGAGGTGCTCAAATAAATTACATACCTAACAAGCTTCATGTATATGACTTATACGCTTTTGCTTGAGGGGAAGTGTCAATGTTACTATGTAAATAATGTTTAGGTTCATCGTATAGGAATAACCAAAGCATGTAATTTTGGTAATTAAGATCATTGTATTATTATCATTGTTCTCCTATAGTATTCAGTTATTTCTGTTCAATAGTAACAGGGTTTTCTGTAAATGCCACTTCTCTCTCTCTCTCTCTCTCAACAACAGCAAACAATAATGTTTATTCTCAAATACATACATTGCCTCTGTTTATGGCTCATTGTTTTGAAAAATCTCTGTATTCACCTATTAATATCTGTACTAAAAGGTTAAGAATTTTACATATACTTATGGAGGAAATAAGCAATATTAACATGAAATTTATTTATCCAAACTCATTTCTGCAGGTTGTTAATTGATTAATAATTTATTTAAATGTTTTGTTAGTTGAGCTTTTTATGGATGGATGGATGGATAGATAGATAGGTGTGCGCTGATAATACAGTATGTAGTATTGGCTTAAAATATATGTTGCAGAGATTAGAAAATAGATATACGTGGAAGGTAGACTCAGTCCCAGATGAACCTTGATTCATCTAGACATAGAATGTAAATCATAATTACAATGTGATCTGGTATGATCCTATTTCATGTGTAAACAGGTCTGGGTGGAATGCATTTGGTGTTGTTCAAGGTCGAAGGGAACCACCGGTTACCACCTACCACACTTTCACCTGGAGACATGGTTTGTGTGAGAACATGTGACAGCAAGGGTGCAATTACAACTTCTTGCATGCAAGGATTTGTGAACAGTCTTGGGGATGATGGCTATAGTATTACAGTTGCTTTAGAGTCACGCCATGGTGATCCTACATTCTCTAAACTATTTGGGAAGAGTGTGCGCATTGACCGTATTCAAGGACTGGCTGATACACTAACGTATGAGGTATTGAAATCTACTGTGATTTCTTGAAAGGGAGCCGCAAATTCTATTGAGAGGGTAATGAGTGTCTACTATTTGTGCTTAACCAAGTACAATAAAATAGAATCTGTGGTATCTAAGAACGTGAATAACTAAACTAATATATCGTGATTGGGGGAATATGTAACAATGAATTTGATTACCATTTTGTGGGGTTTGAAGGTACATTTCCTGGTTACTTCATTCGGAGACTAACTTTGGAAATGATAGACCCGGTAATATGGTTAAAAGTGTTAACTACCCAGCCCCTACTTTCTGTATCTAAAAAATACTTCTACATTCTAGAGATCAGTCTTAAACAGATTTACATAATTTGACTGTGATGGTTCTGTTTGTTAATTTCATTAAAATTTTACTGCTTAGCTCGCTGATTATATGTGTACATATACACATCTTTTTAGTAATCTTATGACTTTTCCAGCGCAATTGTGAAGCCCTGATGCTGCTTCGGAAGAATGGTTTACGAAAGAAGAATCCTTCAATTTCTGTTGTTGCTACACTGTTTGGAGATGGGGAAGATGTTGCGTGGCTTGAGAAGAATTATTTGGCCGAATGGGCTGAAGAAAATTTGGACGGAATATTAGGAAGTGAAACTGTAGATGATTCTCAGCGTAGAGCAATTGCACTAGGTTTGAATAAAAAGAGGCCTGTATTGGTTATCCAAGGGCCTCCTGGTACAGGTAAGACTGGTTTGCTCAAGCAACTTATAGCATGTGCTGTTCAGCAAGGTGAAAGGATTCTGGTTACAGCACCAACTAATGCAGCTGTTGATAACATGGTTGAAAAGCTTTCAAGTGTCGGATTAAATATCGTGCGGGTTGGAAATCCAGCTCGTATATCAAAGACAGTGGGATCAAAGTCTTTGGGAAAAATTGTAAATGCTAAGCTTGCAAGCTTTCGAGAAGAATATGAGAGGAAGAAGTCAGATCTAAGGAAAGATCTAAGACATTGTTTAAGGGATGATTCACTGGCTGCGGGTATACGCCAACTTCTTAAACAGCTGAGTAGGTCACTGAAGAAAAAGGAAAAGCATACCATTAATGAAGTCCTCTCTAGTGCTCAGGTTGTGCTTGCCACTAATACTGGAGCAGCTGACCCTTTGATTCGAAGGCTAGATACTTTTGACTTGGTTGTCATAGATGAAGCCGGACAGGCAATTGAACCCGCATGCTGGATTCCTATATTGCAGGGAAAGCGCTGTATTCTTGCTGGTGATCAATGCCAACTTGCTCCTGTCATATTATCTAGAAAGGCCTTAGAAGGTGGTCTTGGAATATCTCTACTGGAGAGAGCTACAACTTTGCATGAAGGGATTCTCACCACCAGGTTAACAACACAGTACCGTATGAATGATGCAATTGCTAGTTGGGCTTCAAAGGAGATGTATGGTGGATTATTGAAGTCCTCTGAGACTGTCTTTTCTCATCTTCTTGTAGATTCTCCTTTTGTTAAGGTATTATGCCCATCAAAAATATCTCCATTTTCATTTAAGTAAAGGTTTCTATTTACATCATGTCCTAAACTCAGACCTTATTCCTGTTGTTTGTTTTATCTTGATGGCCTTCAATTTCTAGGGATGCTACTCAAAACCATTCAAGCTGTTTAAGAAGGTTCTATAAAAGTAATCTTCTTTTCATCCAGTGTGTTTTTCCTTTGGAAGAGTGGAGGTATAAGAATTAGGTAAGGGAGGGAAATTAAGTATTCCTGTAAGGATCAAACCCCCTGAAATGTCTCACTTCCTTCTCAAAGACTGATCCTTGTACCAGTTGCCGTGGAATCTTGTTGGAAACATTATGTTTATGATAAATCAGATGCATGCTGAGATCCATGCATTTTACACATCAGGGGAATGAAGTAAGCATTCCACTGGTGAGGGAAGGGTAGAGGAGGAGGGGAGAGAGAGCTTATTTCTACTTCTAAAATGTAGAGTGCCAAATGAATAGGCTATATTACCTATGAGGCTTACTGGCAATTTTTTAAGATGAAATTGGCAACAATTGCCCTAAAACCTCCCTTGAGCAAAATTGTTGAACCATATTTTTACAACTTGTGCAGCTTAAGAATAGTTTGATGCAATATTGGGTAGCCTAAGCTTCTTAATAGACAACATGTAATGCTGCAGATGTACAATTCACAAGACTTTTCATGTAGGGTTATGTCAAGAAATACTCTTTATAGCAATTGAAGAAAGGGCTGTTGTTCGTTACAATTTTATGGACTGTCTTAGCTGTTCTGTTATATTTTGAATTACCTATCCTTGTGTCAAGGAAATGTATGATCGTATTTTGATCCTTATCCGTACCATTTTCATTTTCATTTACTTTTACTAATTCCTATAACATGAATGGAAAGTTTGACCTTGCGGTTGTTGCAGCGTACTTGGATAACGCAGTGCCCACTGCTATTGCTTGATACTAGAATGCCATATGGAAGTCTGTCGGTTGGTTGCGAAGAGCATCTAGACCCAGCTGGAACAGGTTCATTTTATAATGAAGGAGAAGCTGATATAGTTTTGCAGCATGTCTTTTCCTTAATTTATGCTGGTAATCACAGTTGACTCCTAAAAGTTTTTCCGTTTGGTTATAGCTTATAACGTAAAAAAACATTTTCCCTTCTGAATGTTTTATGGTATTAACAAAAAATTGTAAGAAAAAGGTACATTTACCATACCGAAGGATTTCACAGGCAGACAATAAATGGTACCATTTGCCCATTCTTTGGTCACTACCCGTGAGCTCTAGTACTTATAGTGAATGGAGACGCATGACCATGTGTGGCACCACCAACACCTAAACACTGAAAAATCATGGCCTGTTACAAAGGGTGTTTGGTATCCATACCTTGGTGCATTAATCTATTCTCTTCATAGGCCAAAATCTGATCTTATGACTAGGTCATTCATTCATGCCTTGATATATGCTTCTAAAATTAACTGTCTTGACATGTATGCTGTGGATGTGGAAATTAAGGTTTTATCATTTTCCATTTACAAGTAAACTAAGTACAGTATAAATAAAATAAGAATCATAAGATTATATGTTTGCTTTAACCATATTCTGGTACTTATTTGATTATTCTTCTTTTCTACATATTCTACCTCTATTGATGATACTTTACAATGACCCTTTTGTCAAACTTGGTTAGAGAATTTCTAGACAAGCTTCATATCATCTACAGAAATTTTTAAAATTTTAGTTAGTTCTGTTATCAATTTAAAAAAGAAAAAAAAACCATGTTTCAATTGGAATCACGTATTCCACCATAGGATTCTTCACCAAAAATAAAACCACCCAATTGTCTATTTACACTTGTTTATTTTTCTTGGGTTGTATTCAATCTTGTACATTGAACAAAACAATTCTCGCATCATATCCATAGTATTTGAAATCATTACTATCAATCACATTGCTTAATGCTTACTTTTTATTAATTTAGGGTCCTTTTAGTTACTTTGCATCATAGTTATCAACCCCGGATAGCAATGTACAGTGGCCATCTCTAAAAACACTATAGCAGGATAGTGGAAAGTGAGATGGCCACTAGTTTAAATATTGTAATACATACTAAATAATATATGCCACACCCAAAATTTAAGAAATCCATGATAAATAATAAGTCACAGTATACACACAAACACCATCAATCTAAGAGCAATAAGAATGGAACACAAGAAACAAAAACAGTTTTGGTAAGTGTGAAGGAACAGAGGTCAAAACAGAGTTAACTTTAGGTGTGAACACCAAATGGTCAAGGAAGAAGGTTTTTGAATCCTATTATGACATTACGTGCATATTTTTGTGTTTTGCATACTGGATATCGACAGGTCATATTAAAAAGGGAAAATTACAGAACAGGAATTATTAAATAAATATTTCATGTTAAGTGATTAATAAAAAAAAAACTTAGTTTGAGCAATGTTGTGTGTCCAGGCTTGTATACCGATCTATTAGTTTTAGTAAGAATACAATCAATCAAGAATCTAATCACTAGCAAACTAACAGCAAACAAATACAGATGACTAAAATCCAATTTTCTTAATATTAACAATTTCAAAAAGTAGTTAACGATATAGCTACTTTTTCAACATTGTTAATTACTTGAGTGCTTATAATTTGGGTTAGGGCAGAGAGAGAGACCATCTTGTCAAATTGTAAGGAAGTTAGGGCCTTTGGATTAAGATGAACAACCCCTCAAAGAACTGCAGTGTTCTGTCATTGTAATTTGGGTTATTCCTAATTATTCTTAAGAAGATACCCAATTTCCATCCATCTGCTTGGTAAATCATCTTCAAGTTCAATATGTTTCCAGCATTCATGCTTCTAGACTTTAGCCGTGGATGGTTTTCTTGCATAACTATTCGTGCTTGCAGATTTTCACATTGTCATTTCATTGTTAATATATGAATCTGAACTAGGAAAAAGAAGTGCATAATGCAAATTCTGTGCATGATATAATGTAATGTAATGAAATGAGATCTTCTGTATCTGTACTCATGAGGAAAGCTAGCAACATTCTCACTGATTGACACTATTTTCAACACATTATTATTAGGTGAAATCCATTGATTGGGGTCCCACTAAATGATGTGTCCCACTCCATATTTCTTAGTTGTATATGATTAAGGAATGCTAGCAACACACTCTCTAATACACTCTTTTAACACACTCTTAACTATTGACTAAAATTTATTGAAAATTACAAAAGTATAAGAGAGAAACATAATTTAGAAGTAAGAAAAAATGTGACCTACATGATTTTTATAGTTTTTAATGAATTTTAGCCAATAGTTAGGACTTAGGGGTGTTAAAAAGAGTGTGTTAGAGAATGTGTCTAGCATTCTTCATATGGATTTAGTGGAAAGAGTGTTAAAAAGTTTGTTGCCAATTTCGCTCTACTACTCCTTCCAACCCTGCTTAATATTTGAGCATATTACTTTTAACCCAAGAATGGACATTACTGCATATTATTTTATGCTATCATATTTTGCAATGCAAGTTCTAAGCCTTTCAAAGTTTTGAAATCTTGTTACACAACTTATTTGTCATTTTTGTTTGCTGATGTAAGGTTTTCTTGTTTAGTTGAATCTGAACTGTGGTCATTCGCTAGTGTAGTGCAATCCCTCAATATTCAGGCATATTATTTTTAATCCTAGGAAAAAGAAAAGATATTACTGTGTACCATTTTGTGTTTTGATACTTCTGAAATAAGTTGAGTCTTTCAGAGTTTTTGAAATTTTGTGATGCAACATATTTGTCATTTGTGTTTTTTCTAATGTAAAATTTTCCTTGTTAATTTCAATCTGAAATGAAGGTGTTAGCCCAACTGCTATTGCAGTGCAATCCCCTTATGTTGCTCAAGTACAACTTTTGAGGGACAAGCTTGATGAGTTTCCAGAAGCTGCAGGTACTGAGGTTGCAACCATTGATAGTTTTCAAGGTCGAGAAGCTGATGCTGTAATTTTATCCATGGTATGATCTGAATCCAATCTTTAGATCCATCTTTTAAACATTTTCTGGTTGATGAATAAATAAATTTATTACTTGATTAAAAAATAAATGTTTGAGAAGCGTTAATAAGATATCATCTCCGGTTATCAATAAAAAGTTCAAACATTATCATAATACAACCTTAGGTTGAAGCCAGTCATAGAAAGCCCCTTCTGTCCTATTCCAATTGAACGTGTCATTATAGTGCAATCGTTTGCTCAAGTCCCTCAGGAATTATACCTCCTCTCCAGAAACCATGAAATTTTGTCAGTTTACTTTAATCACCACATTGCAAGAATGGTTCTTATTTCTCATATGCCCCCGTATGCAAGAGTTTTTCTGTGCTTGAGGCATGGACTTGGGCCCACTTTACCTTAGGGTGAAATTTTAATTTTACAATGAAGAATAGAGTTAACGAAGAACAAACATTTAACCACTTGGTCAATACACACTGTCAATGACCAACTTCTGAATGCTTAAAGCTGTTAGGTGTTAACTCACTCCTTAAGCATTCATACCATCACTAATCTTGCTGCCATTATGTCCTCTTTTAATTCATGCTTTCATTTATACTTGTTCATGATTAACTTCTGCAATTGGGTAGATATGTAACATTCTTCCTTGATGAGATAAGTGATCAATTACTCCCAGTTTGACTATCGAACCTTCACATCCCGAGACACTTGATCCATCTAGGCAGTTCTGAATTTGAAAACCACTTTGCTGAGATATTTATCTGGTACTGGTCTTCCACATGAACTGGTATAGTCTGACTTGTTCCCCTTTTTACAAATGATAATAAAACAATATAATAGGTACGATCAAACACGATGGGAGCTGTTGGATTCCTTGGGGATAGCAGAAGAATCAATGTTGCCATCACGAGAGCACGCAAACATTTAGCTGTGGTCTGTGACAGCTCAACTATATGCCACAATACCTTCTTAGCAAGACTTCTGCGTCATATAAGACATTTCGGTAGGGTGAAGCATGCAGAACCAGGTAGTTTTGGAGGGTATGGACTCGGGATGAATCCCATTTTACCTTCCATTAATTAGTGTGCAACATTTGCATGAAACATATTTTTCTCTTTGGGGTGGGGGCGGGGGGATTGGAGGGGATTCATAGGTTTTTTTTTTTTTTTTTCGTGGTCAAAACTTGTATAGTTGTATAGCAATTCAAAAATTCAAGATTTGTAGGTCCTATTAAGTACAACTCATGCATGAAAATAATGGAACAAAAGTTCATTGAACCCTCCAAATTTGGATGTAATGATGTATATTAAATATTGTTTCAATGAATTGCAAATCACAATTGCCAATTGCCAGGGTATACATTATTTTATGGGAAGTAGGGATGTTCATTATTGACTTTGACAAACCCGATAATTCAAATCAAGTCGATTCAATTAAAATTAATACGAAATAGTTTGATTAATTAACTTATTTTCCCTTAAAACTTAATTAAATTAGTAAACAGATTAATATTTGGACTTCATCTTTTAACCTGAACTAGTCACAGGATCAAGTTTTTTAAAAAATAAATAAATTTATACATTTTAGACTACAGTGTTTATCTATTATATGCTTTTATCCATTTTTTCATTCATTATAACCTTAATTGTCTAGCGTTATTACGCACTTGAATTAAGAATTAATTATAAAATATTTATCGCATCAAACAAAAGTTTAATAATCTTTTTCTTTCTCAATAAAATCTAATCACTTTTAGATGTTTAAAATAAAACATAAGGATTGATATTAACAAAATTGTACAAAATTTAATATAAAAGGTAACGAATTTTTCATGCACTCGATGGATAAGAAATGAAAGTAAGAAACAATAATTGTGAAGTTATACTAGTTGAGTAATAAAATTTAGTGTTATAAAAATCGGCTTAGACCAGCCGGTCAAACCAATTAAGCCAGAAACTGAATGTCATTTTCAGCATGACGCTGGTCTTCATCCATTTTTGTTGCAAGATGTCGTTGCTGGAAGAAGATGAAACTTTGAGGAAACAAAGGAGAGAGGATTTCTCTGTGTGAAACGAATATGGAAGAGAGAAAGCAGAGAGAAAAGTGATTTGCCTAACCATTTCCGAGAGTCTAATTATGTACAAATAAGATATTAGCAATAACGACACCCTTAAAAATGATTATCCTATTTAATTGTATAAAAATTAAAGCATTTATTTTATTCCTAAAAATTTGATATTTATTGTTTGTGAGAAAGGTTATTTTTTTAAAAATAATAAGTCTTATAAAATATTTTATCTTTCATCATTTTCTAAAATTAAAGAGAAAAAAATACAAGAATTTTACCAAATAAATATAGATTTATAGATGAATTTTTAAAAAGTTATAAACAAATTTTAATATTATAAACAAATTTATAAATAGGTAAGACTCGTTTCTTTTTTTCTTATTTGTAAGTCATACAAACAGATTTTTATGCTCGTATATAATTTATAAACAATTTTATTAACAACTTTTACTATTTAAAAAGTTACATAAAGATATATCTATTTGTAAATTATTAAAAAAAAAAGCCTAAATTTTTAAAATTTAAATGAATTTTATTGTTTGTAAATTTATAGAAAGATTTGGCCATGTGTAATTAACAAAAATTTATTTGTAATTTTTTATTTTTTTGTCTATTATTTGTACTTATATAATTATTACTCCTTGTTGCTAATTATCATAACCATTGGTAGGAAAGTTATGAAATGTATTAAAATTTAAAAAATAATTACAAAATTATAAATTAAAATATCATTATAATAATAAAAGTAAACATCTAAAATGATAATATGAAAATAAAATAACAAAGTTCGAAACAATACAAAAGTAATCACGAGTACCTGATGTCATCAATATGATCATTGGTACAAGTCGTCAGCATCATCATCATCATAGATAGAGGATGAATGTCACATCACTCCAAAAACTGGTAGTGTTAGAGCTAGTAGGAGAGGAGTGGATCTATTCGCTCTCATAAGTTCAAAGTATACATGCATCTGTTGCATCTACATATACTATTGTTGCACCACCCTTTACATCTTCAATGCCACCTTTTTCTTAGCATTCTTTTCTCCTTATTCTTTTACATCTCTTTATTTTGCTTTTATGGCTCTTCATTTAGGGCATGGACTTTAGTGCCATGTCCTTTACCTCCTCAACAAACTCTAGGGCTTTTATAAAGGTCGCCCACCGTTTATGACCATATATCGTCCTCATCAACAAACTCTAGGTCCTCAATAGATGCAACCTCCAGCCTCTGAACATAGTTAGCCTACAATTTAGTGCAAATAATTATATATTAGGCTCAAAAAATATTTTTTAAACTTTTAATCAAAAAATATAATGTGAGTAACTATACTTACATATGTTGCTTAAGATCATGAATCAACCCCCACAATTTTGTCTCCCTTGCAAGTGCATTTCTCCTTGAACACTTCTCTATATGTAAGTGGTCTCTTTAGCAACTTCTCCTGCAATTCCAATTAATAAACCTCTCAAAGATAAATTGAATAATAAAAATTTAAAACAAAATAAAAAAATCATTAACCAAGTTAGCCTTAGTGTTGGCCAAAATAATAGAGCCACCAAAATGTAGTAGGCCACCTTTATTGGATGCCCTATTTGTCTTGTTATTTATGATGAAATTTTGAAACTTAGTTGTATGTCAATATTCCTTCCTATAAGACATGAAGGAAGTGAGATACTATCTAATTTATAGATGACGAATCCTGACAGCCTCAATGTACATTTGTCTTAATCAATTTGTAGTTTGACTCTCTCAAGCCTTGAAAATTTTCTTCTTGTCCTGGCAGGAATAGAGAAGTGGTTCTACATAAATAGAAATTAATTAATACAGGTAAAAAAAGTTAGAGATCTAATTATACTTAAAATAAATCAATTAACTTTTATTAACTTTCAATCATTGTACCACTCCAATCAAAACTGGTATAAGGCGCATCATACATCTTTTTAATGGTATTCATGACCTAGTCCTTCTGCGGTGGATACCAACTAAACACATAATAAAGATATATTATATAGTGGATAATGACAACATAAAATAAGACAATTATGTTAACATTCACATGAAATAAATTTTTGCGTCATATTTGGTAAATATCTTCTTATCAAGTGGATCCATCCCATCTCAAACTTGGAAGTGTTCTCGAGGGTGTCTGGGTTTGTGATTAGTGCCCAGAGGAAGATGCAACAACAATGGATCCTTCACTTGTGCGCTGTGTAGAGGGGACGATGTGACAAATGTAATCGGCAGTGCAGGCTGTGAAACTCGCTGTATTGGCGGGAGAGGAGGTACATACTTACCATTTTCAACTGGTGTGGAGGTGGAGGGAAGGAGTGCTACCACTGATAAGTTCATATTTTTATATATTTTATGACTTATATTTATACACTTAAAACTTCATTTTATATATATTTACGCTAATTATGTTATTAATTGTTACAATTTAGCTGGAAGTTGTTATTAATGCATTATTGAGATATTCTGAATGAAAATTAAATATTTTTAGTCCTTGGCTATGCTATGTGAAGCTGAGTTTGAATTTTGAATTTAAAATTTAAACTTAGATATAAAGATTTGGAGTGATTCTGATTGTGGATAAAATTGATTTGAAAAGATAGATTTCAACCAACTGAAAACTCAAGGCATAGCCTATATAAAGAGGCCTTATGCTCCACATTTGACACTCTCACTTCTCTACACACCTTCTTCCCCTTCTTAGTTCTACCCAAACTCATCTTTGAGAGTCATTGGAGACCATTGGTAAGGACGACAAGCTTTCCCTTGGAGTCCAAGCAAGTGATTGAGCGCCCCTTCGGAGAACGAGAACTTTCTTCGTCTTTTACCTTTCTAGGTTTCTTTTGTTTGAGTTTTCCTTTGTGATTATGGGTTTATTTATCATGTTCTTCGTTTATAATTTTGTTATGGTAATTAAACCCATAACTAGGGCTATGGCGGATCCCACTGTAAACTTTGTCTGATTTTTACTTTAATGTTAGTATTAGTTTTCCTTTAATGTTTGGTTTTTATTCTATTGGATTATATTGTATATGTTAAGATTTGATCACCCTTAGTATTCTATAGTTAGTTGCATGGTAGGTGATCGTACCATGTGTAATTAACAAAACTCTAGGATAAAACGAGATAAGAGGCTAGGTTAATCATACTTAATTTCTTTCTTTCAACCGTTATTAAATTAACAAACTTATAAGATCTTCATGATTTCTTGACTAATTACCTTGCATGATCATTAGAGGTGTTTGCTCAGTGAAAAGAATATTGAAATTGCATAATTATTAGGTGTTAATGAAACTAATTATAAGTAGTTGACAAATATTTGAATACCAATATCAGGATTAAATTAATTAGAACATAAAGAAGTGTAGTAAGTGAATCCATAAGTCCTAGACTCATCTCATCTGATCTCTCTCATACATTGTATTACTGTTCTTTTAATTTATTGTTAACATTAAGCTCTATTTTTTGTCTATTACAATCTCGTTACATTGAAACAATCGAATCAAGCTATTCTTGGTACTTGAAAATAATCTTTGTGGGACAATAACTTGGAAACTCTTTTCAAAAACCCTTTATTACTTTTTGATGGGTACACTTGCCCACGAACAACTACTATCACCACGACTAATACGCTGAATAACACCTTTCTTACCTTTACCTCTACCTACCATATCTAAATGAAATTGATGAGTTATATTAATGGCAATCAGAACTAAATTTGTTGCATTTACTTGTTCTTTTTTATATTAAACTCCATGTTCTACTTGTCTTACTGTAAGGTTTCTTTTAGTAGTTGTAATTTGTATGGTGGAGTGTTGGCATTATGCATTTCATATGATTTTTTTTTAATTTCATAATAAACTTGGTGTTCAAGAACATTCATAATTAAAGGTAAGTGTTAGAGGTAATTAAGTCAATATAAAAAAAATTACATACACTAGTCCTCTACATTCATGAAACTAAACACTAAAACATGAATCAAATCACTAATCATTTTCATGTGTTTCCTTCCTTGTCCCTCCCAATATAATTAAAACAATGAGAGTGGACCTTGAAAAAAGAAGTGTTACTAATGGTGAAGGATTATTAATTTTATTTTGCTTATAAATATAGATTCGTACGCTTACAAATTAAATAGTGTTCCATTTTCATTACAAAGATAAAAATGCTATTCGAAGCCATAACCTTCAGATTAGTAAAAGGGTCTGTAATGGCATATTTTCTATCACATTAAAATTAAAACCAAAACAATTATAAAGGTTCATTTAAAAACCCAAACGTAAAACAAAAATCATACCTTTGCGTGACAACGGACAACAACAAGGGCACCGAATCGATTCAAAAAGAGAGAATGTCATTGGTGTGTGTGTCAAGCAATCTTGGTTCAGTAAGAGTTCAGTCAAGGAAATCACTTCAAGCAATGGCTTCTTAGAGAGAGCTTTAGCAACAATAGGCAGTGGACCTTAGGCAATAATAGGAGTTGAGAAAGAGGGCACAAAACCTTTGGCAATAGTATGTAGTAGGCTTGTGTTTCAAGGTTGGGAGAGGGGGATTTCTGAGCGCGAGGAAAGTTAATTACCTGGAGTTGATAAAAACATATTTTAATAATTACCTAAGTTTTCGTAACCGTCGTTAATTAACCATGATTTTTATAACAAACTGTAGAGAATATTTAAATTTAACTATGGTTATTTAAATCACAAGCAATATTTAAACTTAACAATAATTATATAAACTGTAGAAAAAAATTGTGGGGAAAATTAACAATTCTAGTAGTGGCTATTTGTTAATTGTCAACCTATCAAAATGATATAAACCTAAAAATTGCACCCAACATTGTATGAACCTCGCTTACTTTACATTTCATGAATTTCTAATGTAAATTTCGACAGAATCTCCCTTAGTATATGAACATTTTCTTATGTATATTATGGTTTAATTCAAACAATGAAAAATAAATATATTGATAAATAAATAATAAACATACATATCACAATCCTAAAATCATTCTAGAGGCATCCTCTTATAACTCCACAATATGCATATTTTGCCATCTCTGCAAACACACACAATCTCACAGCAAACAATACAAATAATTCAGGAAAAGACCTCTACACTCATCCCCTCAGTCATGCAATCTCCAATTCTACAATTTTATCTTGAAAATTGTAAGTCTTTGTCTTACATACATTATAAGGTATCAACAAAATAATAAAACAAAAAACTAATCTGATTAGAAATTAGAGTATAATACCAAAAACATAATGGCTCAAACAGTTTTCAAAATGGAGGATCCAATCATTGGCAGTGGGCAAAATATTGAAGACACTGGAAGAAGAGGGACACAAGAGAGAGAAATGGAGAAATGGAGAAGAAAGAGGAAGAGACACTTTTGTTTATGAGGTTATTACAGATGGGACAATATGTCTGTAATTCCATTAATGAAACGTTGTGTTTCTTTAATGCATTTATAGACAGGAAAATGTCTCTATCGAGGTATCAAAAAAGGGCAAACTTATGTTCCAATATTACAGGTGGATTTTACCATATATAATTCACACATAATATTTTACTCCATAGTTTCAAATTACAGACACATAAAAATGTTTGTAAATTTGTTAGTAATTTAGTTTTTTAAAAAATTCTTAATTTTTTTTTCTATGCATGTTATGCGTCAAATGGCGAGTATTTACTATAACAAGTGCAAACAAATTTATAAACAGATTTATCCTAAAAATTAAAAAATTCCAATTTTAAGATATATCATCTATAATATAGATGGATTTTTTATTGTTTGTAAAATTCGTATGTATTCTACATGTTTTTAGTAGTGAGAAAAGGAAAAATTTCTAAAACTAATTAGGTCTAATAGGTTTTGATCTTTGCTCTTATATATTTTAAGGTGCAATGAGTAAATCAAGATTACATAACTCTAAAAAAAATTATTTTTGATGAAATTTATAAAATTGAAAAGGAATAAATAATTTTTTGGTCGCTATACAAGACTATTTTTTTGTAATTTAGTCCTTATAAGTAAAAAATTGTATATCAGTTCTTATGCAATTTTTTTTTCAATTTCATCCTTATATGTTATAATGATGTTAGCTCTCTCCTACGTGACAAGTTTAAATTATTTTTTAGTCCTTATACAAAACACTTTTTTTATAATTTAGTCCCTATAGGTAAAAAAAATTGTATATCAATCTCTATATAAAAATTTATTTTTAATTTTGTCTCTATCATTATGAAGTCAATTTCATATTAGTATCAAATAACATTTTCCCATCATCTTTAGAAAAATATTTTAGATTCTTCAAATAAACTTCATATTTTGCTTCATACCTTTTTATGTTCAGCTTCATGTCTTGATTTGCTTTTACATTAGCAACACCTCCAGCATTTTTAACTCTAGTCTTACTACTTATGTACTCCATCATATCTCATCATTATTCTTATCCCTTATGTTATCATCCTTATCTCAATATCTCAAATTTTAATCCTGTCTTCGTAAGTCGTGTCCAAATTCAAGAACTTTCTTCTTCTGTATCCTTGGTACATTTGTAAGAAAATCAAAATCTCTCTTTAAATCATCATTATCATTATTTTTTTTTTATTTTTACAACCATAAATTGACTATATTAAAAAAAAAAAAAGCATTGGAATAAGGGTGATAGAAGAAAATGAGGATTATTATGAGAATATGATGAAGCAAACAAGTTGTGATATTTGAGATGATGCTCATGTAAAGATGAATCAAGACACAAAGTATTCTCATGATGGTTCTTAAACTAGTTTAAAGTGAATAGGCGTTAACTTGTATAATGAGACTTGATGCATGAATTAAAAAGGTATGAAACAAGATATGAAATTTCTTTGAAGAATTCACATACTCATCTAAAAATTATGGAAAAATATCACTTGACATTGATATAAAAATGTTATAATAAAGGGATAAAATAAAAAATAAATTTTTGTATAGAGATTGATATACAATTTTCTTTTTACTTATAGAGACTAAATTATAAAAAAGATATTGTATAAGAACTAAAAGACAATTTAAACTTGCCACATTGGATATTCATTTGTCACTAGGAAAGGGAGCTAATGTTGTTTGTGACTTTCAAAATATAACTCAGTGAGAGTCAACTAGCAAGTGTACTAGTGTG